GGGGCCGGGGGAGGGGAGTACAGCGGGAGCGGCTGTGGGCTGACGGTTCCTCTCCCCTCCCCCTCACCCAGCTGAGGCTGGGCTCCCGGCTGAATTCATGGCTCCGGGCTGTGCTGAAATCATAGTCCGGCCCAAAGGACTCGTTGAGCGTCGCAATCAAGTAGAAGAGAGTCTTGCGGCTGCACTTGTCGCTCAGGGGACCGTCGTCCTCACCACCCTGGCTCTTGCTCAGTCTGCAGAGAGAAGTGTCGGCGAGCTCCGCACTGTCCCCCCAACTGTGGGCAGACCGTGCCCCCCACTCACCTGCTGGGGCTGAGCCCTGAGGTCTGGGGCGGGGACAGTGCCTCCAGCACGTGGGGCTGACCCTCCTGGCAAAACTGCTTGAACATGTGCTTGTCATCTCCTGCCATCTTACAGGAGTAGCTCTCGATTCTACAGGGGGACGGAAGGGACGCAGGCAAAACCATGAATCGCGTCACCTCCCAGGTTCTAATCGGGGCCCTGGGCAGAGTGACCCCCGAGACGGCACTCCCCAGAGCCTCCGCCTCACCTGCCAATGATGTGGGCATCTCCTGTCTCCACAGTCAGCTGCGAGTTGATGGCCTCGAAGCTTGAGTTCTCCAACAGCTTCATGCTCCTTGGGGAGGGGGCTGCGTGCTCCTGAGGAGTAGTGCTGCCTGAGGGTACGGGAGGCCAGGCTATGGGTATCCGGCTGTGGGGCTCCGCCTTCGCCCTCCTACCCCAGTAAGCGGAGACGCTGTAAACAAGCTGGATCCGGCCCCTGGCCAGGCTTCGCCAGCTCACACCCCCTCCCATCTGTTCTCAAGCCCTTGCCGCTGGCCAGGGAGGGAATGGGATCCTGTTACCTGAGGCGGGTGCCAAGTAGGGCCTCAGCTCGGCCACACCCCCTGCACCTCACACGGATTCTGGGCCAGGCTCCGAGGGAGAGCCGGGGGTCCTTCTTCCCCTGGGGCTGCTGGTTTAATCTCTCCAACTTCCCCTCATCCCCACAGAAAAGCCCCACCCACCATGAAGGCCCCTTGGAGTCCGCGAAGGGACACGCCTCCTGCCGTACCCCTCACCCGGACTGGGCCCCTCAGCCAGGGTTTCAGGACACCTGGGGCTCCCTGCGGTCACCTGGGCGGGGCGCTCTTCCCCGGCTCTTCCTCGCCGCTTTCCGGCAAGGGCTCGAGGAAACCCATAAGCTCCTCCGTTCTCCGCGAGTGCGTCTGGTTACTTCGGACGCGCCGGGGCGGAGGAGGCCCTACGGCCCCCAAAGGGCCTAGACGCGAGTCGCCAAGGGGAGCCCCGGCCGGACGTGGGGTGGGGGGGTGGGGGACTACAAGTCCCAGGAGGCAGTGCGGCTGGGCCGGGCGCACGCGCACTGGCGCGAGGCCTGCTGGGCGCTGTAGTTCCGGCCCGGAGACAGCGGCCAGGTGCAGGGCGGACACCTACCTGTGTGGGCCAGGCTAGGTCCGGCTGGGCCAGGTCGAGTCGGTTGGTGTCGGTGCCAGAGAGAGAGCGGTGTAGGCTCCGGGCAGCGCGGGCTCCTCAGGACCGGAGGGCGGCGACGCGGCCTCCGCTTGGGCCGCACTGTATCCGGGGGAAGAAGCTCCGCGACGACGTCCCGTTACTCCCGGCCTTGCCGGCCCATCCGGGCTGCCACCGCGACATAGCCTCTCCCCACCCTGCACACCGCCGACTACCGCGACCGACCTGCCCGCCGACCGCCACAGATCGCCCCAGCGACCGAGCGAGCGAGCGAGCAAGCGAGCGACCTCCGCCTCCCTCGGCCGGACAACAACAAGCGTCCGCAAGGCCCAGCCCCACTCCTCTGAATGGCCCGCTCCGACCTCGGGGATCCAGAACTCGGATTGCCATTGGAAGCGTTACCCGCCGCTCATTCTCCTCTTCTACTCCTACTGGCTGATGCTCCTGTCCGTCACTCTTCTCGGAAGTGCGCGCCCGCCTTTCTCTCCGGGGTTCATTGGTGGGGCCTCGCCCGCTCCGCCCCCTGGCGGCGGACCGGCTCCGGACGCCGCTGCTCGCAAACAAAGCGCCGTGTGGGCGGAGCGCGCGGCGGCGGATGGGGCGGGCTGAGAAAGCTCCGCCTCTCAGCCCGAGGGGCGGAGCCCCTGCCCGGGAGCAGCGTTTTCCTCCAGCTGGCGGTGGGGTGTCTGTTGCCGATCGGCCGGGATGCAGCCTCAGCCCACCCGGCTGCTAGGGACAGAAACGGCGCCCGCCTTCCGCTTCTGGCCTTGCTTCCGTCCGTGACACTTGGTCCCACACACGGGCCTCAAGGCCCAGCTCAAACGTGATCGCCCTGGACACTTTGTCCCGGCGATGCTCGGGCCGAACACGGGACGTGTCCATCCTTGGGCAAGGCGGGAGGATCAGCTCGGCGATCAGTTCACGACCCCCACTCCCCGCCGCTCCGGCCGCGCCCGGAACCCCCGGAACTCCAGGCTCGCAGTCACGGTTTCCGGCCGGCGGAGGCGCTCAGTGGCCCAGCCCACGGAAGCGGGCTCGGAGGGCCGGGACCAGCCGGCCCGGAGATGGCCCCGCCGGCGGGCGGTGGGGCGGCGGCGGCGGCGGGCTCGGCGGCAGTACTCCTGGCGGTGCACGCCGCCGTGAGGCCACTGGGCGCCGGTCCGGACGCCGAGGCACAGCTGCGGAGGCTGCAGCTGAGCGCAGACCCCGAGCGACCCGGGCGCTTCCGGCTGGAGCTGCTGAGCGCGGGGCCCGGAACGGTGAGTAGGGGCGGCGGGGCGTACGCGGGTCGACCTGGGTCCGGCGGGGCGCGGAGCCCAAGGCTGGGCTCCTCCGCTTGCCAGCTGCGTGCCCTTGAGCAGTTACTTTTCTTTGTTTCTGTTTCTTTGTCTGTAAAATGGGCACAGTGCTGGTACCCACCTTTTTACGAGCTGTGTGAGGATTTTACAAGATTGTACGCCTCAAGGGCGTAGAGCAGTCTACCAAAACCCACGCCCGTTGCTATCGAGTCGATTCCGACTCATAGCGACTCTACAGGACAGGGTAGAACTGTCCCATAGGTTTCCAAGGAGCGGCTGGTGGATTCGAAATGCCGACCTTTTGGTTAGTAGGCGATCTCTTAACCACTGAGCCACCAGAGCAATGTAGGCGGCCTGTAAATGTTACCTTGTTCCTTTGGTTGTCGTGGCGCTGGGAGAGGCACCGAGCCTGGTTTCTCCCCGTCTTCAGGTCAGCTTGGAGTGGCCCTTGGAGTCAGTCTCCTACACGGTCCGAGGCCCCAACCTGCATGAGATGCAGCCTCCACCAGGAGGGCCTGGGGCCCTCAGCCTGCACTTCCCCAACCCTCAGGAAGCTCAGCGGTGGGCAGCACTGGTCCGAGGTGCCACTGCGGAGGGACAGAATGGTCAGTATCTTGGAGCGGAGATGCGTTTGCTCTGCTGGGGACTGTGTTTAAGCTGGGAGAGAGTCCTGGGTGGGAGAGGTGGTGGGGGAAGCTCACCTCCTGCTGGGGGTCTCGGAAGGCGCCTGGAATACCAGAGAGGTGTGCAAGGCCTTAGGCCAGCGTGAGAAGGACAGGCTATCAGGAGCACTGTGAAGGTATTCATGGGACAGTGACGACCTTTGGTTTGTGCTACTGGAGACTGGCAGAGACTTCTGTTGCCGTGTGGGGTGGTGCAGGTAGGGCTGGAGAGAGGAAGGATGCTTCCAGAGATGTTAGGTCGAATTAGCTGAATTTCAAGGCTGTTTAAGTAGAAGAGTTAGTAGTCGAGAGGCAGAGAAGGCTGGAGGGACCAGGGACAGCAACGGAACTCTGAGGTAGAGGCCTGCCTAGGAAGGCTGGCAGTGGTCTGGCTCTGACACATCCCGGGGGGTAGCTGGATCTAGGCCAGAGCTGGGGCTCAGGAGCGGTCAAGATGGGAAGGAATAGAGGTCAGTCAAGGTCAGTGGGAGAGAGAAGCAAGAGAGGGGCCTGATATGCAGGCCGATGGTGGGGAGAATAATGAGAGCCCATAAAGAGGTGGGGAAGATGAGACCCAGACAGGGTGAAGCAGAGGCCCAGGCAGCTCTGAGTCTCAGGGAGTGAAAGCTGGTCCTCTCATGTGCTCATTGGTTTGTTCATCCTCCAAACCTGTATTCAGTTTCTGCTCCACACTAGGCTCTGGGCCAGGTCCTGAGAGTCAGCAACAAAAAAAACCTTAACCTCCTGCTGTCTGGAAGCATGCAATTTTTTTTGGGGGGGGGAGGGGCTGCAGACATACAAACTGATAAACTCCCTGTTGGGTAGCGGAGGGAAGGAGAATGTTAGAGCCGGAAAGACAACAGTTTACAATAGGATCGCAGGGACACCTCATCGAGAAGGTGACTTTGGGGGAAATCGGAAGGTTATGGCAGGAACCACGTAGCCAAGAGAGAGGCAGGTACAAAAGCCCCAGGGTGGTAGGTGGGCATGGTGTTTGAGGCTCAGCTGAGGCCCGGCATGTGCTGGTGCTTGTGGGGCCCTGCTCACAGGGAGCACCGCCCATCTTAGTGGGGAGACAGCTCAATAACCGAGGAGCTATTTGAGCATTGGGTGGGGACCCCTCCCCATTGCAGTGGGGGGTAAGAAGGGGAGACAGCCTGCATGCCAGCTCTGAAAAGCTGCTCATAGTAGGCAGTGGCCCGCGAGGGTCTGGAATGGGAGCAGCCCAAATGTGTTCTGTGCTGACGGTGGAGCAGGAGGTGGGTACGGAGGTCCGGAGGCCACCAAAGCATGGAGCTGCTGAAAGGCAAGACTCTTGTCCGGGGGGCTGATTTGCCTTTGGAGGCCAGGAGAGCTGGCCTGGTCTCTGTGGAGGGTGGGGACGGGTGAGACTAGGCAGCAGAGGGGGCCAGCAGGACTCCGGGGCCGGATGAGCCACGCGCTCCAGCACCAAGAGGCAACAGGCAGCAACCTTCAAGGGGTTACAGGGTTAAGGCTGGAGGGGAGGCATGGCTCACAGGTGGCTGAGGTGGGCACTGGCATCGGTCAGTGCGGAGGACAGAGGCAAAGGTCCTGGAAGCCTGAGATCCAAGAGCAGAGAGGCCAGGTTGAGGGATGGCCTCAGACATGGGGAGCACTTGGGGACTAATCACAGGGGCCAGCAGCCTACCCTTGTCTTCCCTCCTAGGCAGCGGCAGCGGCAGCCCACCCCCAGCCTTAGGCCCAGAGACCTGCCCTGTTTCCCCTCCGAGTCCTCCTGAAGCCCCTACCCCCATAGGCCTCCAACCTGAGGCAGATCCTCCCTGGAGCCCTGGGAACTCTATGGAGAAAGGTAAGGGCAGGGGCCGAGGGGGCGGGGGAGCAGCAGGTGCCCAGCTGCGATGGTGGTCTTCCTCCCCTCACAGAAGAGCTGGCTGGGCGCCTGGCCCGGGCCATTGCAGATGGGGATGAGAAGGGTGCAGCTGAAGGGGCGGCCGTCCTGGCCCAGCGTCAGGTGGCCCTCAGCATCCGACTCCAGGAGGCCTGCTTCCCGCCTGGGCCCATCAGGTGAGCCTGGCCTGGGACTTTTTACTGCCCCACACTCCCTGGCCCCCTGGCCTGTCTCCCTGACCCATGTTCTGGCCCAGGTTACAGGTCACGGTTGAAGATGCCGCATCCTCTGCCCATATTGCACTGCAGGTCCATCCCCACTGCACTGTTGCCGCCCTGCAGGAGCAGGTGAGCACAGCCTCTGGGGAGGCCCGTGGGGGCGGGGCTGTGGGTGGCACCGTCCTGGCTGACCTCTGCCCCAGGTGTTCTCCGAGTTCGGCTTCCCGCCGGCCGTGCAGCGCTGGGTTGTTGGGCGGTGCCTGTGTGTGCCCGAGCGCAGCCTCGCTTCCTATGGGGTGCGGCATGACGGGGACCCCGCTTTCCTCTACCTGCTCTCGTCCCCACGAGAAACCCCAGGTCAGTCCTCAGTTGGGGTGGGTGGGTGAGGGAGGTGGGATGTAGCCTGAGCCGGCCCTGAGCCCCACCCTGCTCTACAACAGGATTTCGCCCTCAGCGACCCCAGAAGACGGATGGTGAGCTAGGCCGCCTGTTTCCCCAGTCACAGGGGCTGCCTCGAGCCCCCCAGCCTGCCAGCACCAGCCCCCCCAGTCCTCTGCAGGTGGGCCAGGGACCAGATGGGGCGTGGGGATGGCAGGGCTGGGGGTGCCGAGGGCCCTGGAAGGAAAGGGCCAGTAACCGCCGTGTTCCCTCCAGCCCGGCTGGTCCTGCCCTTCCTGCACCTTCATCAACGCCCTGAGCCGACCTGGCTGTGAGATGTGTAGCACCCAGAGGCCCTCCACGCGGGACTCCCTTCCCGCAGCCGCCACCCAGCAGCCACCAAAGGTACCAGAGGCAGAGGCGGGGGAGGGGAGGGCAGCACACCAGAACCAGCAGGCATGACCCCTGCCTCCCTGCAGGTCACGAGGAGAGAGGATGGCCCTTCCCTCCCAGGTCTCTCGGGGGACCTCTGCTGACTCATCGTGTGGCCAGAGCCAGGCTGGGGGGCCACAAGCAGACATTAAAGACACTCTGAGCCAGCGAGTGGCCTTCATTTCTTTGTGGGCAGGGCTGCAGGCAGGACCCGGAGGAAGGACGCTCCGGACTGCACGGCAGAAGGCGGGGCCCAGGCTGGGGTCTCAACAGCAGGGCAGCCTCCCAGCAGGCCCAGGCGGCTACGGGAGTGGGCTTAGACCAAGTTCCAGTGCTTCCCAGACTCTGTAGGGCTTCTCTGGCTGCTGTCCACGGGCAGAAGCTAGGGGGAGCTCCACACACTAGGCTGAGGCCCCCCCTCCACAGCTGGCCTTGCTGCCTCCTGTTCACTGGGAGGGGGGAGGGTGCTCTCAGGTACACGCCCACCCCTCCCTTCCTCACCACCTCCTCTGCCCTCAGCCCCTCCAGCCTGTCCACCACCTGTTCTCCCCCCAGCTCTTGCCCTCCCTAGACCGGCCACCACTCTGGTGGCTTACTCTGGATCCTGTTTACCAGTGACAGAGGCGGGGTTTTTAATTCTCTCAGACAAAAAAGCTCAAAGGCCAGGCACCCTCCCCTCCACATACTGCTGTGAGAACCCAGCCCATGCCAGGCTGGCGGGCCTAGACCCACTACCAGAGGCCCTGTGGACTGCTGCAAGATACCATCCCATAACAGACACCCCACTTCCCTGCAACATGACCATCAAGAGCGCAGGGGGACATTCCAGGCGCCCCCCTCTGCCTGCCTATCCCTGCTTTCTTAACGGCAGAGAACCATCCTGCCTCTCCTCGCAGCCACCTCTGAACAGCCAGTTCTCTGCAACCTGTCTCACGCTTGGTTGTTTCTGGACTCCCAACCACCTATTAGTCCAGTGCAGTGCTGGCCGCATGCGTGACACAAGCCTGGGACCTGTGGGGGCAGGGGCCCTGGTCCCAGACTCCCCTGTAAGCCTGCGCTCCCTTCACACAGAGCTCGTGTATGCATGTTGAGAAACTTAATTTATTCCCATGAGGGGAGCTGAGGAGGAACGGGAGCTAGAGCCTGGTCTCCTGCCCCCTCCCCTCTTGTCCCAGAGGCAGAGGGATTTGGGTGGGTGGCCCGGCTGAGGCCTGACCAGTCCCAGGGTGGCTCTTGGGTGCAAGGGCCTGTTCAGGTGGGATGGCAGCAGGTGTCAAGCAGGGTCACTTGGGCGGCCGATACGCCAGCTTCCGGCTCTTCAGGACTGACCACTTGTGCCGCTTCATGGCGTACACCAGGGGCAGCAGTAAGCCCATCATCATCAACATCTGGGGGACAAGGCAGGCTTAGGGCGAGGCAGCTCCCAGCCCTCTGATGCCCCACGCCCCTGGCCAGCCCACTCACCTTGAGCCCCATGCGCTTGCGGTGGTCGTGCTCTGGCTCGGAGGCCCAACGCAGGAAGGTGGACACATCCTTGGCCACTTGGGACATGGTGGCTGGGGTGCCTGGGCCAAGGACAAGTTGGTGAGGGCTGCCCTTCAGGACCCTGCCCAACCAGGGGTACCTCAGAGCACATCCCTCCCCAAAGCGTAAAGACAGGCCCCTGGTAAGGCCCCACAGGATGGACCCTCCCCAGCACACACAGAGGGATCTGGGCCAGAGGCAGGGCCGTGAGGGTGGCCCAAGAACCCCCGACACACACACGCAACAGCCAACCAAGGAGAAGGCTACACGTCAGCCCAGACCCTGCACGCCACTCCCAGAGTGGGAGCCTCTCACCGTCGTCAAATTCCAGCACTTCATTGTAGATGGGGGGGGCCATGGCAATGGCCTGGCCGGGGAAGTAGGGGTTGAAGTAGAGGCCTTCTCGCAGCGACACCCCAGTGGGAGGATCGCAGTAGCCCGTGAGCAGGGAAAAGACGTAGTCCTCGCCACCGTGCCTGGAACCAGATCCACAGCCCATCAGCCCTGCATGCAGCAGCCCCTCCCCCCCTCCCCCAGCACCACCCAGTGGATGCCCATGTACCTAGCTCGCACAATATAGCTGAGGTCAGGGGGCAAAGCCCCACTGTTGGCAGCGCGGGCAGCCTCAGGGTTGGGGTACGGTTTGGGGAAATAGTCCGACAGCTTCCCTGGCCGCATGAACATCTCCCCGTCCTCGTTGGGGCCGTCCTGCACCTCCACCTGCCAGCGAGATGCCCCATCACAGCCCTGCTCCGCCACAGTGGCCGCCCCAAGCCCCGGGTCCTCTGCACCCCTGAGCTCCACACCTCCTCTGCCAGAGCCTTGGCTTCCTCCTCTGTGTAGCACACGCCCACCAGGTGGCGGTAAGCGACGTAATCCATGCTGTGACAGGACGAGCACACCTGCTTATATACCTGGAAACCCCTCCGGATGCTAAAGAGAGGGAAAGGGTTAGGAATGCAAGGATTCCACCCTACCCGGTCCGCCCAGAAACTACCCCCACGCTCCTCACCGCTGCCAGCCACACACCTGGTGTGGTCCAGGGAGGAGAAGAGGCCACGGTGAGACCAGGGATAGTTGGGGGGATGCAGCTCCAGATCACTGGCACTGACAGCGGAATGCAGAGCCACGGCCAGCCCTGCACCCCCTGCCGCCAGCATGCCCAGCGCCGACAGCATCACCTTCCGGCCCCGGGACAGGCCAGACTTCGACGACAAGGACACTGCCTGCAAGAGCCCCGCTCAGCGCCTGCCAGAATATGGCCCAGCCCCACCTGGGGATCTGACTCTCAGCGCCCAGGAACTCTCCGCTCCTCTCATCCAACTAGCACTGGGCACCTCCTGCCCCACTGCCCGCGCACCCAAACTGCTGCTGACCCCTCGACCGGGCTTGGCCCTGAGGAGCAAGTGTGAGACGTGGTCTTGGATCCTGGGCCGGCCAAGGTCATGAGCAGTTGGCCGAGGTCAGGCGGAGATCATTTCGGGCGCTGGGCTCAGTCTGGACGCCCAGAGGCGGGAGCCGGGGCGGCGTGCACCCTCGAGGGCAGCCACAGCCCGACTCGGCAGAGAGCCCGCCTCGCCGCCCCCAACCCCCGGGAACAGGCGCCTCTGCAGCTGGGAGGAGTGGGCGCCGGATCCTGCTCCCGAGCGTCCAGGGTCGGCAGGCATCGCGGGCTCGGCCGGGGCGGGGTCGCCGAGACCGCACCCCTGCTGTCCCGGCGCGCGCCCCGAACCTCCCCGCCGTGACCTTCACGGGGCTACGGGGCCGCGCGCCAAGTGGGATCCGGCAGAGCGCTCACCTGAGGTGTCCGCAGCGGGAGCTGCCCGGGCCGCGCGCCGCACAGCAGCCCCCGGGCCCGTGCGCCCGGGAGTCCCGCGCCCCGCGGACCCAGCACCGCCCGGCTCACAGAACCCGCCGCAGCCGCCATCTTGGCCCCTCTCAGCGCGGCCGCCGCTCCCGTCGGCCCCTGCGACGCCACGCGAGGTCAAACGTCGCGAGAGTCGGGGGCGCCAGTTGAGGGGCGGGGCATCCCAGGCTGGGGCTAGGGCTGCCTCCGTTCGAAAAGGACGAGGCACACCGCCTCTTCGCGCTCCTCTGGTCGTCGTGGAAACCGACGATGGGGCGGGGCCCCAACGCGTCTCTCCTTTGCCATGACAACGCAGCCCCCCCACCCCCGCCGGTGGAAATCCACAGCCCGGAATCACCGATGTGTTCAAGACCGAGTGCTTTCATTTAGCAGTTATATTCAGTCCTGGCGCGATGGTTCTGAAATTGCCATTCTTTCCAGTGTTATCCATCATTTGTTATGATCCACACAGTCGAATGCCTTTGGATAGTCAATAAAACACAGGTAAATAAACATCTTTCTGGTAGTCTCTGCTTTCAGCCAGGATCCGTCTGACATCAGCTATGATATCCCTTGTTCCACATCCTCTTCTGAATCTGGCTTGAATTTCTGTCAGTTCCCTATCGATGTACTGCTGCAACTGCTTTTGAATGATCTTCAGCAAAATTTTACTTGTGTGTGATACTAATGATATTGTTCTATAATTTCCAGATTCTGTTGGATCACCTTTCTTTGGAATGGGCATGAATATGCATCGGGATTGCATCCTTTCACCATACTTACTCAATCTGTGTGCTGAGCAAATAATCCAAGAAGCTAGACTATATGAAGAAGCTGGACAATGAATACAGAAGATCGAAGAAGAATTGACACCTTTGAATTATGGTGTTGGCGAAGAATATTGAATATACCACAGACTGCCAAAAGAACTAACAAATCTGTCTTGGAAGAAATACAGCCAGCATGCTCCTTGGAAGCACACTATGATGTTAATGAGGCAGGGTTAGAGGCAGTTATGTTAATGAGTCAGGACTCAGTCTACAAGATTAGATTGTGTCTTACATCAATCTCTTTTGAGATATAAAAGAAACAAGCAAGCAGAGAGACATGGGGACATCTCGTACCAGCAAGAAACAAGAGCCAGGAGAATACCGTGTCCTTTGGACCTGGGATCCCTGCACTGAGAAGCTCCTCAACCAGGGAAAATTGATGACAAGGACCTTCCCCCCAAAACCATGAGAGAGCGAAAGCCTTCCCCTGGAGCTGGCACCCTGAATTCGGACTTCTAGCCTCCTAGACTGTGAGAGAATAAATTTCTCTTTGTTAAAGCCTTCCACTTGTGGTATGTCTGTTATAGCAGCGCTAGATGACTAAGATAATGCCCTTGATGTCATTCCACAACTCATGTAGTCTTCGTCATTAGTGTTCACTGTGTCAAATCTGTTCTTGAAATGCTCTCTGAACTCAAGTGCGATATACTCAAGGTTGTACTTTGTCTCTCAGGGACTTGTTTTGATTTTCTCCTGCTTCAACTTGAATTTGATATGAGCGATTGATGGTCTGTTCTGCAGTTGGCCCCTAGACTTCTTCTGACTGATATTGAGCTTCTCCATCATCTTTTTCCACAGATGTAGTTGATTTGATTCCTGAGTGTTCCATCAGACGGGCTCCATTTGTATAGTGACCATTTATGTTGTCGAAAAAAGGATTTTCCAGTTCGTCAGTTGTTCATCTTGCAAAATTCTGTCACCAAGATCATACTACCACCCGTCAGTTTGTCACACTCTGGTAGCTTGCATGTTGCTGCGATCCTGGAAGCTCTGCCACTGGTTATTCAAATACCAGTAAGATCACCCACGGTGGACAGGTTTCAGTGGAGCTTCCAGACTAAAAGTGGGAAGAAGGACCTGGCAATCTACTTCTGAAAAAATTGGCCTGTGAAAACCTAATGGATAGCAGCGGCGAAACTATAGAGACAGTGAAGACATCAGTGGTTGCCAGGGGCTCGGGAGAGGGGAGAGAGAGTGTAGGGGGAATGCAGCAGTTTTAGGGCAGCAACACTATTCTCCGTGATACTGTAATGGTCGACTCACGACGTGACGCGTTTGTTAAAGCCCACAGAACTATACAACACGAAGAGTGTACTTTAATGTAAACTATGCATTTAGTTAAGGAAACTTTGGCGGCATAAGCACAGCTGCTAACCGAAAGGTCGGCAGTTCGAATCCACCAGGAAACTCTATGGGGCAGCTCTACTCTGTCCTCTAGGGTCACTATGAGTCGCCATCGACTTGACAGCAACGGGTTTTTAGATTTAGTTAACAAGAATGTATCGATATTGGTTCATCAGTTGTCACAAATGTGCCACAGGATTGCAAGCTGTTAACAAGAAACAGCCAGAAAAGAGGAGGGAAGCAGGACAACGTACTTTCAGCGCGATGTCTCCGTAACCCTAAGACTGCTGTAAAAAACAGTTCAGGAAACACTGCCTGGCTCTTCGCCACCGTCACAATCACACCTACTAGGACGGCTATCAAAAAAAAAAAAAAAAAATCATTAAGTGTTGGTGAGGATGTGGAGAAATGAGAACCCTCATCCACTGCTGGTGGAAATGTAAACTGGCACAGCTGCTTTGGAAAATAGTTGGGTAGTTTCACAAAGTTAAACCAGAGTTACTTAAGTGACTAGAAATTCCAGCGCTAGGTATACACCCCAAATAAACGAAAACACGTTCACAAAGACACTTGTACGTGAATATTCACTACGGCATCGTTCACAATAGCCAAAAAGTAAAGACACTGCAAATGTCCATCGACCGATGGACGAATAAACACATTGTGGAAGTTGTACAGTGGAATATTATTCAGTCATAGAGGAATGAAGTACTGATACACGTGACAACATGAATGAACCCTGAAAAAAGGCTCAGTGCAAGAAGCCAGATGCAAAAGGCCGCGTATTGTAGAATTTATAAGAAATGTCCAGAAGAGACAAATCCAGGGAGACAGCAAGTAGATTAGCAGTTGTCTGGGGCTGAGAAAAGGGGGACGTGGGGAGGGACTGCTTAATGGGTAGGGGGTTTCTTTTCAGGGCCATGGAAATGTTCCAAAGAGCAGGGCAGGAGCTGGTGGAGCCAGTCTTGGACACCAAGGCGGGAGTTTTGTCTTATTCTGAAGACCATGGGCCTCTGGCCAAGGAATGAAAGCTCAGGTCTGAACGACACCGGATCCCAGGGGTGCCTGGGCTCAGGAGAGCAGAGACCACCACACTGTCAGTGAAGGCGGACAGGTGTGAACCCTTGAGACCCACCTGGGAGGGAAAGGATAAGCCCTACTGATGAGGTAGATGGAGATGAGGGAGGGGGGCACGTTCAACCCCCAGGAGGATAGGAGAGCACGAGGTGGGGTTTGGGCGGGGAGGGGAGTGAGGGTGGGGTGCCTGTGGCACATTCTGACAGTGGCTTCAGGTCCATCCAGGCCACTGACAGCCTCAGAGTAGGGTCTGGGCTGAGCTGGCCTCGGGGTACTGACGTCTGAGGGAGCGGTCCTCTGCTCACCGCCCGGTCAGCCTGCACTCCCACAGGCAGGAGATCTGGCAAAGGGTCTGAGGAGTGCACAGAGGAGCGCCCACATCATGGCTGTGAGGCAGGCGGAGGCACCAGCCTCGACTCCCCGTGCCCCCCACTGCTCGCAAGTCAAAGCTAACCCTTTTCTATCCTGCTCCGAAAAGCACCCCATCCCCAACCCCTTCTCCCCCACCAACGGTTAGACCTAGCCCACACTGGCCCATCAACACGCGCTGCCCCGACTGCCGGAACATGCCACTGCGTGGGCCTCCATGGACACGGCCTGTGTTGAGGAGACGCCTTCACGGCCCACGCCTGCGTCCACAGGCCACACAGCCTCCCTGGCTCTCAGAGCTCCTCCTGCCCCCCAGGGCACCTCCTCTCTCCAGGCCTCCTGCCTCACAGAGCCCCAGTGACGCCAAGCTCTGGGTGTTCGTGCTCCACCCAAGAGACCGACCGTGTCATCTCTGGAAAAAGTGGCCCCGGAGAAACCCCCTGACCCGACCCTGGGGGAGCCCAGGGTTATCAGAGGAGACTCTCCCTGTGTCGGGGAGTCTCCCTCAGGAATGAGGCAGAAACAGCAGGAGGGGCAGGGCAGGCCATGGCTGGGGCAGGGGGATAGTCCCAGGTACCCTGGGCCCATGGCACACTGTATCAGAGGAAACAAGACTGTACTCTCCTGGCCTCCAACCTGCCCCGGATGAGGCCGCTGAGTGGAACCACTAAGGTCTGATGTGGCCCTGGCATCACCAGAGGATCACACTGTATTTCCCTTTCCTCTGATAGACAATGGACTTGTCCCTTCAGGGGCAGTCAGTGGTTCTCCCCCAGTCCTCCATGTGGGGTTTCTCCCGCACCCACCATCTCTGGTCCTGCATGCTCCAGAGAGTGTGGGTGAGCTCTGCTCTCTCCCTCGACTTCCACCTCCCTGCCTCCCCAACAGGCTCTAGCTCTCACTGCTCGTCAGCCCATTGTGGGGTGGCGCTCTGTAGCTGGTGCTCTGCAGGTCCTCTAGCCATGCCCACCTGTCCCCACCCCCAGCACAGTGCCTCACACAGCACCAGGCTGCAACCCATGGAGGTACAGAGTCTGGGCTGTGTCCCTTCTAGAAACCAGGCCAAGCCAGGGGTCACTGTCCTGCCCACGGCTGGGACAGCCGGTTCCCTCCTCCTGCCAGCAGTGCTGGGTGGCTGGGAGTGCCACCCCCACCCTCCGGACCCACGGAGACAGCGGGCCAGGGGCCCAAAGAGCACCTGAAACAAAACACCTGTTTATTTCCCAGGAAGGACGGGTGTCTGGGGAGTCCCACCGCAGCCTGCACACCAGGGCAGCAGACATCACTTCCAGAAGAGCACGTTCCAGAAGAGCAGCCAGCAGGGGTAGAGGCCCAGGGCCAGAATCGGGAAGAGCAGGGCACCATAGGTGTAGTGCTCCAGTACGCCTTGGGACAGTGCTGCCAGGAAGAGCTGCCAGCCCTCGGCCAGGGACAGCGGTGCCTCCTGCAGCTCCCGCCACAGGAACAGGCTGCCCAGGAGTGTGGCTGCTGGGCTCGTCAGCACCAATAGAGCAGCGTAGAGTGACCTGGGAGAGATGACACACACGTGTCAGGAGACAGAGTTAGGGCAGGCTCCTTAGAGGTGGTGGTGTGGGGACGACAAAATCAGGGAGGGCTCCATGGAGGAGACAGGAGCAGAGAGTGAATCAGGATGAGGTGTTGGTGCAGGGGACTGCATCAGGCCAGGGCTGCTGTGATACGGACATGGGCTGCACAGGGGGCTGACTGGCACATACCGGGGCCCACGGGGCTCGGTGAGCGCGGCGGCGGGCACCATGGTGGCGGCCAACAGGAAGCCTAGTGAAAAGTTGATGAGGGCGATGCAGCCCAGCTGCAGGGCCAGGTAGATGAGGGCCACCAGCTTCAGCGCCATCCAGCCCCTGTCCGGAGCCTGTGTGCTCACCACCCTGCAAGGCAAGTGGCTCAGAGGCAGCCCACCGGGGCCGCCTGCAACGCCAGAGTGCCCGTCCTGCCCCTCACCTGTGGGTGTTGTGCGGAAGAGCCAGGCCTGCCGCGTAGATGGCCAGCAGCGTCAGCACCACGGCCTCAGCTTCACCCACGGGGAAGTGCCGGGCAGCCACGTGCTGACCTAGCACAGGCAGGAAGTAGAGAGCCAAGCCCACAGCCTGTGAGATCAACAGGGGCGCCACGAGCGAGGCCAGCCCCACATCCTGCAAGAAACAGGGGTCCTTGGAGACTCGGACTATGGGATGGTGCACCCCAGGGATCTTCCTCACCCCCACTGAGGAACCACCAATCGGGACCCCAGAAGCCCGCCCTGATCCTGGGAGGGATGCCATCACCTGTGCCGGGGGGAGGGGAGGCACACGTCCAGGGGTCCCCCCAGCCTCCTCAGGACCCGCTCCGGCTTCATGGAGCTGCATCCACAGTTCCAGAGCGTGGGCCGGTCAAGGCCCCTGACAGAAAGTGTGACGGGACCCACTGCGTGGGGGTCGAGGGCTCACCACCCCCCGCCCCCAACACCACCTGGAGCAGGACGGGGGACTTCCCCAGCTTGGGGTAAGGGGGCCCGAGCTGGCCCCGTGCGGAGCAGGGAGGAGGATATCTTCAGTCCCAGGACGAGAAGCAGGAAGCCCGCGGCGGGCATGTAGAGGCCGATGGAGACGAAGCGCGAGAGGGCGGGCAGCAGGTAGAGGAAGAAGGACTGGTGCAGCCGCTCCAGCAGGTGGTTGAGCTTGCGGAACATGCCCTCCAGGGCCCTGCCCGCACAGGCAGTGTCATGGCCGGCCCAGAAGACGCCAGCTCTCCTATCACAGAGCCTGGCACTCCAGGCCAGGCCCCGAGCACGGGAAGGGGAACAGAGCAAAAGAACCACTTACTTGCCCACGGCTACCAGGTCATACTTGTACTGACGAAAACTATTGATGCCACGCAGCGTCAGGGCCTCCACGCGATAGCGCAAGAAGAGGCCATGGGGGCCGTGGGGACGGCCGGAGGCCTGCCTCAGAACCATCAGCAGCAGCGTCTGCAGGCCCTGCAGTGGCCCGTCCAGCGACGCCCAGTCCTGGGGCTGCAGCTTGGGGGTGTGGAGACGGGGTCACATAATGCCTCACACGGGCCCCCGCCCCCCACAGGCAGCCCCACCTTGCCCTGCAGCGTGCACAGCAGCCCCCTTTTCTGGCAGAAGGTCTGGAAGAGGTTGAGCAGGTCGAGATTGGGCAGCTGCCCGTTGAGCCCCTCCACGGCCACGTCCAGGCTGGTGACCACATCACTGCTCAGCTCCAGGGCCACGGCCGCCTGGATGGCCCCGGCACGGCCCTGCAGCGGTGAGGACTGCATGCCTGTTGGGGTGGAAATGGGCTGCCAGTGAGGGGCAGGTGAGGGGCCAGGGCCTGGGGAGGGGCCAGGGCCTGGGGAGGGGCCAGGGCAGGGTTTGTGGGCACCCACCAGTGACGTTGACATCATGGTACGCCTCCAGCCAAGCCTCGGTGCCCAGGAGGTCGTGATCTGTCACTAGAAACATGATGTCCTTGGCCCAGTAAATCTGTCCTGAAGACCACAAGCAGGGTCAGCCTGGCCTGGGGTGATGGCCAGACCCTCCCTGGCCGGCATCCCAAGCCTCACCTCGGAAGTGGGCAGCAAGCGCCAGTAGCAGCCCTACGGCCTGGCTGTTGGCAGAGTCGGAGCCACAGGGCACGGTGAGCACCAGGGACTCGGTGCTGGCCGCACGTGGGGCCCGCAGGATGCCATACACGTTGGTGCCTGACACCATCTGTGTGCAGTACGGGAGTGAGTTCAGCGTGCACCCACCACAGAGGGCTGAAGCTCCCTCTTTCTGACCCTGAAAAATCCCTCACCAAGGATTTCCCTGGTCCCAGAAAACCTCTCCACTGAACTTCCTGGCCCCAGGGCCACCACAACCACTCCCCCCGCCCAATGATTCCCTGCGCAGGTCACCTCCCCCCACCAAGCTGTTTTGTGATAGCAAGCAGAACCCTCCAAATACATAGCGCTCGTGAGTCTCATCTGGGAAGGGCAACTTCCGGGAGAAGGTTTGCGTGTACACCTCCAGCCCCACTGACCGCATCGCCCGCTCCAGCCAGGCCACTGGCAGAGCCCTGGAGACACAAGGAGAGCCCCTGAGCAGGACTCCCTGGCCTTGGCCACCCCTGCTCCCCCATGCACACGGCTGTGCCGCTCACCCCGACTTCCTGCGGTGGGCAGCGAAGTCCCGGGCAAAGTTCCGGGCACGGTCCCCGCCGACAAACTGCTCCTCCACCATGGTGGAGCCCATGGCGTTCTCCGACATGTAAGTGCCCTGGGTCAGCGGCGGGAAAGCCAGCGCCAGGAACCAGGCGATGCCCGCCACGTAGCTCAGCACGCTGCGAAGAAAGGGCACGGCGGGAACACCGGGGCGTTGGCGGGACCAGGGGCCCAGCCCGTGGCTTCAACCTCCTCCAGGCCAGGGGTCGAGTCTGAGGGGCCTGGACCCAGAGTCCAGGCGGGAGAGTTGAGCCCCGGGCCGGTACCTGAGCGCCGCAGGCCGGCGGGAGGGCAAGGGTGCGAGCGGGAAAGGGTGCGGGGCATGGGCAGCTCGAGCACCGGGCCCTGGGGTCCCCGCCTTCCGGGGCCCGCCGCTTTCTCACCAGAGCGGCGCATTGAGGCGCAGCACCAGGCGGGCGAGCGCGCGCCGGCGCACCGGGTCGGATAGGAGACCCATCGCTGAGCTGCTCCGGCCTCCGAGCCCGCGCTTCCCGTGAGGCTCTGCGCCCTCCCGCACTTCCGGCGGCCCCTCCACACTTCCGGTCCCGGCCGTCCCCCGCGGCGCATGTCCAGAGCGGAGGCCCGCCCGGCCCGGCCCGAGGTAGGGACACTAGTGTCTTGGGGCAGACATGGGGTGGGGAACTCGAGGCCGGCAGGGAGCGGCCTCCGGGCGGGTCGGGCCGGCCATTGGCGGCGCCAGAGGAAGGCAGGTGGCCGCGTAGCCGGGAAAGAGCGCTGAAGGTGGCCGACCGCGGGCCGAGCTGGCGGGGGAGGGACGGGGCAGCAAGAAGACGCCGGCCCGAAGGCTGGCTGTCCTTGCCTCGCGGGAGAATCGGAGAAGGGTTAGAAGGGCAGGCAGGTGGAAGGCCGGCGAGTGTGGACACCGACAGGTCTGAGTGACCGCGGAGTGGGTGTTTACTCCAGGAGGTCCCTGGGATGTTAGCCCTGGTGCCCCCTGCAGGGGCTGGTGGTCAGGCTCGGGCCAGTCTGTGGCAGGAGGTGGAGCCAGTCTCCAGAAACGAGGTGGGTGAAGGGGAAGCTTGCAGATGGCGCAGTGGCTGTGGTGTGAGCGCCCGACCAGCGATGGTCAGAGCTGTGAGGGAGAAATAGCCAGTGAGAGCCAGTGAACTTTTGGAGCCCAGGGGACAGTCAGTCCAACCCATTGTCCAGAGGATGCAGGAGATGGCCCCACATCTCCTTGCTGGTACCCATAGCTGCTGAGTTCTCTCTCAGCTCCTATGCTCAGGGCCCCTGGAAGCGTGTGGTGGGTTGTGATGTACAGACCCCACCGTCCACTGGCAGAAAGAGCCAGGCCCAGGCTCGAAGCTTGCTGCCTTCAGCCTTTCCTGACCATGCTGCTCTCTCCACCCAGGGAACCCACCGGCCCAACTCCATCTTCCTCTTCAGGTTTGAAACCTGAGACGGCAGGAGGTATGTGGTTGACATATGGGAGAGGGCCCCTGGTCACCCCAGGAGCCAGCACCAGGCCAGGCTATGGGGCGTGGAAGCTCTGTGGGGAGGGTGGGGACTGAGGCACAGTAGGGCATGTGTGGGCAGAGAGCAGGGCTTTATTCAGGGCGTGGTTGCCAAGTGGTCAGTCCCCTAGCAATAGAGAGGCCTCGCATACATGCTGCCGGACCACATGGTCCAATAGGGTGTGCACATCTCGGGCAGCCCGGGCCGCGGCCTCCAGCACCCGCTCCAGGTGGTCCTCGTGCAGCCGGGCATCCATCTCCAGCAGTGCGATCTGGCCTGAGGCTGGCAGCAAGGCCAGGGCCAGCTGGGGGCCGCCGGCTGCTTCTTCCACGTGGCTCAGGTCCGCCAGGGCCGTGCCATCCACAAAGCCGGCTGAGCATGCGCACACAAAGTCCCGCATGGGTATCCCAGCGTCCAGCACCGCCAGGGTTGCTGCATTCACACAAGCTGCGTAAGTCCCGCCATCCGCCTGCAGCACCTGCAGGAAGCCCCCAGGCCATCAGTCTGCCAGGCTGCTGAACCCCCAGCTCCGCCCCCCGATCCCTGCCCCCAGGCTGAGGACTGCTGCCTCTCACCTGCACATAGATGTCAATCTGGGAGCGAGGGTGCAGCTGTGTGAGGATGGCCGCCTCGAAGGTCTGGCGCAGCTGCAGGCCCATCTCACAGGACTTGCGGTCCCCATGTGGCCGCCGCTTGCGCTCGCCTGTGCTGAAGGTCGCTGAACTGTACTGACAGTTCACCAGTGCCCGGTCAGGCAGGGCTCGTGCCCGGGAGCCCCGGATCTGGGGAGGAAGGGCACGTGAGCCAGGCCACTCCTCCCAGCACGCACTGCCCTGTCCTCTGTGGCTCAGGCCCAAACGTCAGCCCCTCCCCACACCTCCAGCAATCACATCAAGGGGCAGCTACCTACCTCCGAAACATACCCTAGGGAGGGCCACTTGGCCAGCCTAAGCCACCATCACCTCTGTTCTGGCACCACATCTCTCTAAACTGCCTCCCTCCTTCCAGCTTTGCCCCAGCCCCTTCCATCCTCCACAGGGCAGCCAGAGTGTATTTACAGATATCAAGTCTGATTCTGTCTCACCTACACAGTCACATGTCCTAAAAAATCCATGGACATCAAGTCGGTTCTGACTCATAACGACCCGATAGGACAGAGTAGAACTGTCCCATAGAGTTTCCAAGGAGCGCCTGGTGGATTCAAACTGCCAACCTTTTGGTTAGCAGCCGTAGCACTTAACCACTACACCACCAGGGTTTCCTACTTACCTTCAAAGGCTTCCCATCACGTGTGAAATAAACTCCAAACCCTTTACCTTGTAGGTCCCAAATCCTCTCCTCCCTGGAAACCCTTCAACCTTATCGGGAATTATCCCTCCTTTCCGCCACCGGCAGCTTTTCTGCTCTGCAGACATGCCGTGCTGGTTCCCACCCTTCTGGCCCTTGCACTTCTGGTTCCCTCGGTCTGCAAAGCTGGGCCCCAGACTCATTCACCAAGCAAACATTTTCTTCAGTGCCTACGCTGGCGTCACGGTTACAGTGCTGGGGACACGGCAGTAAAAGAAGATGGCCCAACCGTGTCCTCATGGAGTTTGTGTTCCAGTGGGGGAGACAAACATAAATTTCATCTATTTGAGAAAGATAACTAAAATTGACATTTTGAGGTGCTAGGTGCAAAAAGGCAGAGAAAGGAATAAAAGCGTGCGTTTGTAGGGGAGAGGATTTGCCATGTGGATAAGGGCGTCTGGTAGGCTATCATCCGGACGGTGACGTCCGGGTAGAGTGGCGAAGGAGCAAGCCACTGAGTGTAAAGGTGGGGCGGTGGGGGTGCGCCCGGCACCCGCTGGAACAGCAAGGAAGAATGGAGGGCGCACGGCACAGCAGCCGCTGAGAAAAGCGAGACCACGGTGCAGCACCCCTGTAACGACTTTGGCTTTTACTGGGGGTGAGATGCGGCCACCGAGCCTTTGCTCAGTGAACGAACGGAGGAGCGCCCCGCCCCGCGCACTCCGCAGTTTCCGCCTCGGCCGGATTCCTCCTGTCCCGAGGTAGCCCGGCCGGTGCACGCTCACTCGCCTCATGCGGCCCGTAGACCACCGCCAGCGCCTTGGTGTTGCCTTGCTCGATGTAGGCCGAACCGTCCGCCTGCGCGAACACGCCCATCCGCGCCTGGATCTTGCGCAGCTCCCCGGCTCGCCGCCCATCCACGCGGTAGCCCTGATCCGACAGCAGGTCCAGCCCCGCCATACTACTAGGTCGCCGGCTTCGCTCGCAGAGGACTACAGTTCCCGGCAGCTCCGGTTCCTACTTCCGACTTGCCGGGACATCGGTTTCCGGCAGGCCCGCTCCCCACTTCCGGTCCCTTGGAATAGGGTTTCCGGCGGTCATGCCGCTACTTACGATGTCGAGAACTATGGTTCCGGCGGCCCCACTCCCTGTTTCAGGGCACGGGGAGCTACGGCTGGGCTGGCCCGAGACGGAAGCCTGTGCCCGCGGCCGGTTCCAGAGCCCTCCCGCGGCTTCAGTCTCGGGCTCCCCGCAGCTGTGTCATGGCGGCCCATTCCGACGGCCCCGGCGCCCTCCCGCTCCGACCGCCCTCGCGCTTCCGTACGCTGGTGCGCGGACGACGCCCGCCCCAGCCCGCCGGTCGTGCCATTTCGCCCGGGGCCTGGAGGCCCGAGGGCGCGGAGCCCGCCGGTGCAGCCCCGCCCAGTCCCCGGCGGCAACTGGCTCGATTTTACTTCTTTTTGAAAGTCACAGAGTCGCCTTCGAGGTTCACTGGGTGAAGCCAGGCGTTGCTGGAATGGAAGCGTTTCTGCTCCCAAGCAGAGACACTTTTCCTGTCCTCCTGCTGTCTTACCGTTTAGACAGTTTTACATCACACACATGGTCATGTTCTTTTTAGAGTAGTTTAAATTTTCTCTTCATTTGCATGATTTTTATGTCGCCGCCAACCTCCGCATCTACCTTACCAACCTAATAAATGGTTCCTTCCATATTTTTCTCCATACTCCCATAATTACATACAAATCATACACAAACACGTACAAATACACGCATTTGTACAGTACAGCCACACGGGCTTTGGGATCTCTGGTTATTTTTTAAAATGGGATCATTTCATACTTCCTGTTTTTCGTTCAAAAATTCCTCATGAAATCTCTCCAGATAGTCCAGTGGAGGTCTCATTGATTTTTTGTTGGCTGCTTGATATCCATGGGGTGCCGGTACCAGGATGGGCAGCGGGTGTGTCCAGGGAGGAGGACTTCGGAGTGAAGGTTGTATCTATGAGAGTTGCTTTTTCCCTTCTTTCCCACCAGAAATAAACGTGTAACAGATTTTAAAACAATCTTGGTCAGCCTTCAGGGTGTTACCCAACGTTGCTTTGTTACTCTATTTTGCATTTCCTGGCCCTGGTGGATTCCAGCGTCTCACCTCATGGAGTCCAGTGACTTGGCCATTTGGATTAACTCTTCCAGGAACTGCTGTTGTGCCTACAGGAAGGAGAAATGAGGGGCACCTCCTGCCCAGGCACCTCCTGTCTCCCATTTCCTAGTGGTCAAGGTTCACCACTGGGGAGCTCATTTCTCACTCCTGCAGGTTGCGTTATTCAGCCCCTCTGCAGTGGCTCAGGAGCCAGATCCCACGCTGTAAGTTTGAAAGGGAAGGGATGAACCGACGTGGTTGCAACACTGATGGAGAGCAGAGATGGGTTTGAAGGGGTCTGAGAAGGTGCTCTCAGCTGTGTCCCGGCATGGCCCACACCCTGCACTATTCAGATCCACTTGCCCTCCCATTACATCAGCCCCCACACCACAATAAAATAGGCTTTTTTAAATTTGAGAACGAAGATACCCTCATTCTTTCCAAAAAGGTGTTGTGTATCTATTTATCTATTGCAGCATAACAAACTTCCCAAACCCTAGTGACTTCAAATAAGAAAAATGCGTTATTACGACCTCTCACAGTTCGAGGGGTTGC